TCTCTCTCTCTCTCTCTCTCTCTCTCTCTTATGCCGCTTTGTTTTTTCCGACAGTCTTGAGGATATCATCATGAAACTGGCCAGCCTGACATAGGTAGCTCAAGCATTTCGTTCATCTGGTTCCCTGGAGTTGGAACTGGGGTCTGTATTTCAACAGTTCATGGGTGTGTGTGTACCCACTGGGCCCAGCTCATGGGTGTGTGTGTACCCACTGAGCTAAGGGCCCGTTGGTTGCGGCGGAATTTTAGTGGGGTCTGATAGTGGTGGATGGGGAGCCCTGATGGTCCTCTCAACATCCAGAACCAATCAAACCGGCACTGACTAATTAACGGAACAATTAACCGAACAATCAATCTGTCACTGACTAATTAACCGAACAATCAATCAGTCACACTGACTAATTAACCGCAACCAACGTGGGTTAAGGAGATCATCAGGAGTGCGGAATCTTAGTGGGGTTCGAGTCGGCACTACAACCTCGAACTCATGATGATCTCCTTAACCAATCAATCAGTCACTGTCTAATTAACCGAACAATTGAGGGCAGACAGCTTGAAGAACGGACTGATAGCGCTGTTGAAAGTGATGTTAAAAAAATGGACTGATAGACCGATAGTGCAGTTTTTGAAGAAAGATCACTACAAATCGGGAAACCCTCAGCACCACCAGATTTGCTCTTGATAGCGAGCGAATGCTGGCATTTTTAGCAGATAGCTCCAAGAACTGAAAAAGAGAGAGAGAGAGAGAGAGAGAGAGAGAGAGAGAGAGAGAGAGAGAGAGAGAGAGAGAGAGAGAGAGAAGAGTGAAGGAATGAAAATGACATGCGGACAGAATTGAAAATTTTGAAATTTGAAATTTGAAATTTGAAATTTGAAATTTGAAATTGACCTGGGCGGCAAGTTGGCCGACTGGTTGTCGGACTACCGGCAAAAGAGACGCGGGCGGGGATCCTTTTGTTTCGTTATTTATTTTAAATGTGATTTTCGGCTACTGACTGGTCCACCAGACAGCAAACGCGCTATCAAACTGCAAAGAGATGGGGCAAATATCGGTTCTTCAGAGACTGGCAATCTTGGATGCGGAGCTGTCCGCGCGATTATACTGCCCAAATGAGGGCTTTGTGAGGATGATACTTCAGTTGCTTGAGCACAGCGGTGAGTGATACGACGTCTATCAAATGCGTCTCTCTCTCTCTCTCTCTCTCTCTCTCTCTCTCTCTCTCTCTCTCTCTCTCTCTCTCTGTGTCTCTCTCTCTCTCTCT